ACCGACCCCAATCACACCGTCACCCCAATCATGTTGCCGGCCCTGGTCATGTCACCAAGCCCAGTTGCATCGCCAGCCCTGGTTGCATCGCCATCCCCAGTTGCATCACCCAGCACGTGGCTTTTCCCGGCTCCTGGGGTGCCGCTGTGCAGCGGGCATCTCAGTGTTCCGTTACGGCCGGCTTTACTAACCCGCTGGGCAAGGACAAGGCAGGCTCAGCGCTCAGAAGCAAAGTGTGTTTTTTATTTTGTAAATCTGCTGATTTCGAGTCAGTCTAGCCCGAGGATCCTAGCTCGCTGTCTGCACGCCGGCAGCTGGCAGAGGTGCTCTTGCAAGCCGTACCCGCCGTGCCACCCCCGTGCCGCCTCCGTGACCGCCCCGGTAAGTCAAAGCCTGCGCTCGTTACACGAGTTGCTCCGTCCCAAGTGAGCAGATGCTACGCCACCGCGGGCTCCACAGCCTCTAAAGTGACTAAACATGGCTTGCTAGCGACGAGGACTTGTGAATATGCCATAATCGCAAGTGTGATGTTAATGAGCTGGCAGTGCGGTTAATTATCCACCCACTAGTGGGAAATGACAAGCCTCTGAAGTATAACTAATCGCCGTTCCCGAAAGAAAAACCAATCAGTGTGGAAGTGGGTGCCAGCCCATCCACCTGAGCTGTTGGTCTTGCTCCTTTTCCTTCCAAACTCAGCCCTGAGTCCTTTGCTCCCCTGCACGGCAGCTCGTGGTGGCTACCAGCACGGAGGGAAGCTGGCCCTCCTTCCTTTCAGTTCTTCTTGGGCTCCTTAAGGACGTTGCGCCCAGGTAGGATCTTCCCCCTCTTCCCTGCCTTTGGGCTGGATCTCACCTGCCCCAGCTCCCCCTGCTCCTGCGGGCTCCCCAGTAGGATTTCGTTGATGGAACTGAGCGTCAGGTTGCTGAAGACCATGTTAAGGTGGTCGACGCCTCGCAGCTCCTGAACATGCACCTTCTGCTTTTGCTGGTCGCGCCAGCGCTTGCACAACTCCAGACTGCGCGTGTTGACGGAGTCGTCCCCGTCACCGTAAATCATGTCCACGGGGTCCTCATAAGGGAAACGCTCGTCATATATGTAAGTCTCCACGGTGGGGTAGCCTGTGCCGTAGAGGCAATAGATGTCCACCCCAGGAGGGGGTAAGCCCTTCAGCAAGTCCTTCATGTCCTCCCACATGTACCAGCCGTCCTCCAAGTTGACGTCGGTGAAGAAGCGTTGGTAGTCCCGGTAGGTGTAATTGTAGGAGGGCGTGGAGATGAAAATGTGCGTCTCGGGCCAGGCCAGGCTTGTTGGGAACATCCAGGGGCTGGTGGTGGTCATGCGCTGCTCTTCACGCAGCTTGATGTTGGACATGAGTGGGATGCCCTGGTTGTCACCTGCGGGACACACAAGGGCTTGTCACAAACAGCACCCAAACGTACCCTGGCCAACGGTGCCCCTCCAGCAGTGACTCACAGCTCTCTCCTGGCTGGGCTCCGGTTCCACCTCAGATCTCCCCTCGCTGACCCCTGCCCTGCCCACCACCGTACGTCCTCTCCTCACCCCTCTGGCTGCCGAGATCCAGAGCAACCTTCCAAACACTTCTCTCCAGCTGCTAGGAGAGGCTGAGCGCAGACAAACCTGGACGAGTGATGGTCCTCGCCAACCCAGCCCTGGACTTTCCCTGCAACCCTGGCACCTCCACGCCTGGCTGCAGGGACGGAGGTGAGCTGAGCCCGGTGACGATGCTAATAGCGAGTGGCCAACCTGCGTGTCTCCTGCAAGCCTTGGCATTTTTGGTGGGTCTGGAGTCCTAAGGCCATGCAACGGTCTCAGATTGCCTTAAAAATGTCTCTGGCCCTCGTGGCAACAGAGGAAAACAAGAGGAGGTCATGTAAGGGTCATACAAGGGGCCAGATGTTAAACTCTTCAAGCACGTGATTTTTAATTCCGTGTGGTTTTGGAGGCTCAGCTTGTGACTTGTAGATATTCTGGGCTGCCAGCGTTAGGCAAGTGATTGCGGTTTTTGGGGATGCAAAGAGACTAAAGAGGAACTGGGCGAAGGGAGATTAAAGCCTGACGACGGCAAAGCTTGTGGGGGATGGGCTTCGAGATGTGGGGAGATCCAAGCAAGGGGTGCAGGAGAGCCTTGGTGTCACTTGGCCAGCCTCCATGTCCTCTGCTGCAGAAGAGATGGATGATTTGCAGCAAAGGTCCAGCAGCCTCAGCTCTCCTGCGTGGATAGAGGTGGTGCAGATGTCCGGGGAGGCAGCGAGAAGGGGGTGAACATGCCCTGGGCTACTTCTCTGGCCCCAAGATTTGTGGATGGGTGTTTTGGCTTTCCAGGAGCACTCCTGGAGCCAGTGCGGAGGAAGGGGGATGGCCAGGCTGCAGGTGGACCCTTCTGACAGCAGTTTCCCATACACACGAACCCACCAACCCCAAGCGTAGAAACCAGAGCAAGCTCCAGATCATGTCCTGGGCCGCTCTCCTGCCGCTGGGGCGGTGGCAGGAACCTCCGGGGTGTTTTCTGCCCCGCGGGATGCAGCGGCATCAGCACCAGAGCATGAGGGCTGGCTCCGCAGACCCCTCGGCCCTCTGTCCCCCACCTCTTCCACCACCGTGTCCTTTCCCTGCCCACTCTCCCCTTTGGGAAAGAAAGCAAAGAGGCGGCTGCACACAAGGAGTCACCCACCGGACGCCAGGATACGCAGGGGCTTGACGGATCCTCCCCAGGGGGCACCCAGGGAGATGAAACCCCCGATGTACTGATCTTTCCAGGCTTGTGTCTGCTGGAGCAGGAAGTAGAGAACGTTCAGGTTGCCCATGCTGTGTGCGATGAGGAAGACGCGTCGTTGGTACTCATCGTGCATCTCCTCGATGAGTGCCTTCAGGTTCTGGAAGTATTCGGGCTGCTCCTCTGCGGAGAAGAGGGACACCGGCTCTTGGCCACCTCGCTCATGGCCACAGGGCTCCAGGGCTGACCCTAGGAGCCCTGACCAGAGGGAGGTGTGGGTGCAACCGCATGAATGCCACCATGCGTTCACCCGAGAGCACTGTGAATGGCTGAGCACCCACCATCATGGGCAGCCGTCCCCGTCCAGGGGTTCCTCCACACCACCTCATCCAGCCCGTGAGAGCCACCCTGCTTCCCTCCCTGCATGGGTGGCCTGGCCACAAACCCCAGACTTACGGGGTCCGACCCTCCAGTCGTAGGGGGCTGCCCGAACCGTATGGTCCCTCACGTAGCCGTTGTTTACCAGGTTCTGCACAAGGGTGTGCAGGTAACCTACAGGCAGAGAGAACAGGTGGGAATTAGGTCTGTGGTCTTCTCCTGTCAACCTTTCTCCGCCCTGGTCCTGGTCATGGCCACAATGTTCTCTAGTGAGTCCTGTCGCTTGGTGGCTCCAGCCAGAGGTGGTGGCTCCATGCGTCCCATGTGCACCGGGGTCAAGGACGGGGTGGTCCCTACCAGCACTCCAAGGGAGTGGGTCCCCCAGGACAATGTCCCTCACTCCCCGGTGACCTGGGATCTCTGCAGAACCCATCTCCACTGCAGACGTGGGGACACCTCTCCACTTGCAGGGAGCATGTGGGATCCCCGACACCCCGCACCTCTCCTCCTCTCACCTGCCAGCTTGCTCTGATCCAGGTATTCCACGGAATAGGTCTTGCCGAAGCCGGGCACACGGATATGCACCCCCGGGGCATTGGACATTTTCCGAGAGGTTCGATTGTACACGACCCTGCGGGGACAGGACAGAAAGTAGCAGAAGAACCATGTCCCCGGGCTGGGGTGGACATCACTAGGTGACAGCTTGGAGCTGGGCAGCTATTTCCAAGCCTTCTGTGGGTGGGAAGCTGGACTAGGTGCCAAGCCAGCGTCCGTGCCGATCACTCGGCATCTCAGGGCAGGAGGCTCTGATGGAGCGCGCTGCGGCAGCCCCGTCAACCTGCGGCCCCGGGCAGGGTGGCAGCATCTCCAGTGGGTGCTGAGGACAGTCTGGCTGGGCACGAGCACGTGGCAGGGACATGGGAAAGGAACGGGCGCTCAGAGCGGGAGCCAGCCGGCTCTGTTCCCAAGCAGTCCCGTGATGCTCCTGTGGTTTTCCATGTGTGCCAGGTTGTGGCTGGGGGAGAGGAGGGAGGAGGGAGATCCCTGGTAGGTCATTTCCCCAGGGAGCTCCTGGGGTGGGGGTGAGTGGTACCTGGTGTTATCGATCCAGCAGTCAACTCCCACTGGCAGGAAGGTGTTGAGGTTGAGCCAGATAGTGAAATAGTCCTCTGTTTTGCGGTAGCACATCCAATTCACCACGTCCGGCTTGTCTAGCTTCGCTTCCAGCTGGTTCCCGAGACACCCGGGCACTGGAGGCACCGCAGAGGGAGAGCTGAGCCAGCTACAGACCCCATCCCACTGGCCCTGCGGGGCTGCCCAGCCTGGCACTTCCCCCCACCTCCCCCCAAGAAGGGCTCCCCTGGGGCTGCCTGGCCGGGGCTGCCTGGGGACCTGCTGGAGCAGCATCCCTGGAGAACAGCCTGCTCCACGCAGGAGCGAGGATGCTAGGAGTCAAGATGTGGGATGAGCACGGAAGCGATGCTGAACACACATCCTGAGGGACCCCTCGAGCTGCCTTTCCCATGGGGTGACCCCCAGAATTGCCACCCTTGGCCCAAACCTGCCAGTCCCCACCAGCACGAAGCATCCTGGGTTATTCCCCCCGCCTGGCTGGGTTTCCAGCCTCCTCTGCTCACTGCAGCCTGGGGAAGGAGTCAGTGCTGCTTGGCACCTTGTCCTGGGGTAGCCAGCAGCTCGGGGATGCACAGAATCCCCAGGGAGATGAAAGTCATCCCGGTGCTGACTCCCAAGGCCCACACACTGTTTTCCTGAACTCCGCACAGGCTGAACAAGGTCTCTGAAATGGTTCGGTGCCAGACGGAACCGGACCCTGCGGGAACTCAGTGTAAATAGCGCGTCTGGTAAGCACAGCATGGTTTTAAGCAAGTTCACAGTCTGACATGCGTGACCCGGGCTCCCTTGATGGAGGACAGCCCTCACCAGGGTGTTTGGTCTGCCTCTGGGAGCTTCAGTGTGGTTCCCAGCAGGGATGGGACATGCATCCTGGTGCCACCCGGACAGATGTGCCTGTGCCGGGGGCAGATGTCATGGAGAGCGTTGCCAGCCAGTGTGCAGGAGCCAAGAGCTGGCTCCTGGTGCCAGCGCTGGCCCTGGGGGTGGGAATGGGAGGTGAGGGGGCTGCAGGGGACAGTGGTTGTGGGCCTGGTGGGATGGGAGCACTGGGTGACAAATCCCATGGCCCCAAGGACTGGCTTGCGGTGCGTAACTGGGGACAGCGTGGACCTTCAATGCTGCCGCAGGCATTGTCTGCTAGATGTTCCATGTAAGGGGCTTCCCTTGAGGACACCATGAGCTGCTTTGTGTCCTCGAGTCCCTGTAGAGGTCTGGGACACAGACCTGAGCTCTGCTGTGGCTGTGGGACCCCACAAGCACGGCGGGGTGGGAGTCACGGGGGCTGAAGGATGCAGGCGAGGAGCATCTTTGACCTGAGAAGGACGGGCCCCATTTCCCCTGGACCCCACCAGCCTCAGGTGTCCCTGCACCCCGGGGTCCATGGGCCCAGGTGTTTTGGGGACCCGCAGTGCTGTCCCTGTCACAGGGTGCGAGGGCAACCTGGTCTGGAGATGCCTTACCCCCAGCCCACCTGCCATGGCAGCCACAGTGTGGCAGGGGCATGGCCAAGGGGTGCTGGGGCATGGCTGCAGCATCCGAAAGCCTCATCCCATGCGAGAGGGGAAGGAGATGTAGCAGTTGCCTCCCTCAACCTGCTTCACAGCTCCCTCACCTCCATGGAGTCTCCCCAGGGATACAGGGAGGGTCTAATCCTGCCTTCAAAGCACCTGGCTGGGGATCCGGCCATCCAGTGGACCCTGGCATAGGAGAGCCCAGGCAGGGAGCGGGCAGAGAGGACTTCCCCAGCCAACGAGAAGAGCGGGACGATGAGCTGCTCTGATGGTTCCCGAGGGTGCACAGCCAGCACCCCACCCCCGGCACACAGCCCTGAGCTCTGCCTCGCCTTCCAGAGGACATTAGGTAATTATTAAGGGAGTTCCTCTGGGGGCAGAGGGGTTATCGCCAATCCCAAGGGCACTGGGGTTTTCCGGGATGCCTGGCCCAGGGGGATGGGCGA